AGAGCTTGATAGGTCTCAAGATGGGTGGCATACCGGGACAGCATGTGTGTACCCAGTGTCAGGTGTTGCACTGAATTATGGCATTTCAGAAGCAATTTTCTCTTATGAAGTAACACTGAAGGAGGTCACTGCATCCTGAGGCAGAAGCCCCCTGGGAAGGCCGGGCACTGGATATAAAGCACCGAAACAGGACGCACAGAGTGACACTTATGGCACATCATGAAAACAAGGTACCGCATAGGAGCAATAGGGGTGATGTCAGACAGTAAGGATTACCTAGTTAATGCAAACCAGAAAGCAAATCTGGTTATTCACTCGCTGTACTGCGAGAGCTATAGCAGTTGTTCAGTAAATTTAAAGGTGAATTTAATAGGTTCCCTCAAAGCAATTTCCTCGCACCAATTTCCCTGCGAACACTGAAACAATTACAAACTTCTTCCTCTTCATAGAGGGCAGAGGAAGGGATGGACAGAACTAATTGCCCAATTCACGGGCTATTTAGTACCAAGAAAAGCTGGGCTTTTAACCTGGTGTCTTAAGAAAATTAAGTTTATTTAGTAGCACTACTTTTCTGCCTGCCCCCTTTAGCATCATCACTAAGAATCTTTGAACGTTTTTAGCCACTTTCAAGCAAATTTAACAAAAGGGTAGAAATCTCAACATTTTGTGAGATTTACTGGCTTTCATAATGGAAACAGCCTCAAAGTGTTGCACGTTTAGCTACATCGTGAGCACTACAGCAACCTGTTAAAAGCAAGCAAGGGGTACAGGGGTTTAATTTTGCAACAGGGTGTCTTGATACATGTTTAAGCTGACAAAGTCCCTAGTAGAGCTGCAGGGGAAAGAAAAGGTACAGCACCACTAAGTCTCTGAAACAGGATCAGGTTCACAGTCCAGTACTAAAGGAGGTTGCTACTGGAGGCAAAGGACACAAAACATACCTTTTTCACTTAAAGACATTCTTTATTCAATCTTTTTTTATATACAATATTATTTTTAATCTGTAAAAAGTACATATGCATGATTCCAGGTCAGAGGCAGAAGGTTTCCACATCAGAAGATAGACTTTTGCCCTTTTATTATTTTGGAGGAAAAATAATCTCTCAGTTTTAGACAAAGCAAGAATAAAGGCAGAATGCAAATCCAACTTCCACCAAGCAATTAGGATTAAAGGCAACAATTCATTGTAACAAGTCAGGCTGTCTCCTTCAACTTCAGTGGTTCCCAACTTTTCTAGGCAATTACAGAGCAGTTGGTTAGAAGGGGCTGACAGCCGAAGCAGCTAGAGCTTATCGTGTCTGCTGCAGTTGTATGCACAGAACTTGCAAAAGAGCTTCAGTTTCTTCTTTGTATGGCAACTCAAACTCTTGAGTCAGAAGACTGTTTCTTAAAATTCAAGGAGAGAAAGATGGATGTCTTATCAGGGTGAAGAAATCTCTGAACTACAGTGTGGATCAAGAGCTTGCTTTCAGTTTTCTCTGGTAACAAGAAGCCTGTTTCTTACTTGTCCCCTTAAAAACATAGACTAGACTTACTAATGTTCATAACAGGCTCAATTTGCTAAAAGCCTGAGATGTAAACTGCCTTACCATTTTCTGTGGATGTCAGGGTTACTTTTTTGATCCTTTCAATGTTAATGCTATTAACTACTTCTCCATTCAGACTAGGGAGAGTCACAGTATGAAGGTTTGTGATATCACCTCCTGAGGGACAGAAGAGGGGATCATGAAAGACAATCAGATAGGGCTCTGCTTGTGTAAGTCAGCGCAGGGCAGACCTTTAACCTTAAAGGATGGTATTACAGGGGGTGTGTAATTTAATTATCACTTAAGAACCTGGATACTCGACATTCAAATCTTATAAAATACTGTCTGGGAACATGTCAGTGCTTGGGAGGTAGAAGACAATGATCCACAAACTTGGAGTAGGGAGCTAAAGGAGCCTCAAAGGTGTTACTGGCACAGGGAACTACTTGCTTTTCCCTTTACTCCAGAGTGCTTACTATTTTCCGTACTTTTCTAAGGCATTCAGTTTTAAGGACCATATTGTGCAGCACAATGAACACCCAGAATACCATTCAAGGGTTTTGTTTTTATTTAGAGGACAAAGCTAAGAAATTGACTTCTTGACTGCAGGACACACACAGCTCCATGGTGGTCACTGGAAGCTGCAAAAATTTGGCTTCTTTGAAAAGTCAAGCTGTAAGTATTAGAAAAAAAAGTACTGCTAGCAGGTCCTGACCAATGGACAAGCTTGAGGGAAAAAACTGAACATCCTCGTTTTGACTGCATGCAAACAGGAAATAGACAATTCTGGGATTTCCAGGCTCTTGCCCAAATCCAGTGTGCCCAAACCATACATTTCCTGTTCTTTATTTCATCCTGTAAGAGGAGAGGGTATTGTAGAAATTGCTAAAATGGGACAGCTACCTAAAGAAAATGAGGATTCCTTTGTTAGAGAATACAGTGCAAGACTCAGAAACAACTAGGACTAAAAAGTCACTTTGTGCTTAAATTTACACTCTATCTTCATGAAAGTATGTAAGACAGCAACAGAATGAAAATGGCAATATTCTACTGTACCTTATGTACCCAGAGGGAAAACAGCCTGAACTTTGGGTTGCACATAACACCATTCTGCAGATCAGAACCTACTTCTCTGTGAAGGACTCAGAACGAGGGGACATCACTTCAGCCAGAAGTTTCAATATCCATGGTGCTTGGTTATTACACACCCACCTCGCTCAGAACCCATTACCTCCAAACTCAGCTTGCTCTAGGAAATCTCAGGATGGAGACATTCATGAATGATGCAGCAATTTGTCCATAAAATGCATTATTTTTGATAGACTATGCACATCAGCAGCTTCTGGAGGAAGAGGACAGTTTGCATTTTAAAGAGTGACAGAGTAGAAACTGACAGTTGTTGGGATAACTGGAAAATGAGAAACAAGTGTCCTTTATTTGGTACCTGCTGCTTGTCTACACAAAGAAGAAATAGCAGTACTGTACATCTGCTTTCAGAAAAATACCATCCCATAACATGAAATGGCTTAGCTCCTCAATTCAAGCATTCTTGTGGCAGTGAGTTAATCCATTGGGATTCATGGAGGAATTAATTTGAAGGGTTGCTCTTTAATTCACAAGAGGGGAGTGGAAGTGCAGCAAACAATGATTAGAAGTTTGCTGTTTCTGGGACTCCAGAATTCTGTCTTTGACCTTTCTCTGAGCAGACTGGCAGCCATTCTACATCTGCATTTATCAGGAGGCATATGGGGATGAGTGTATGGGGTTTAAAGTGCCTTTTTCTTTTTATTTATTTTTTTTTCTTTTTTTTTTTTTTTTTTTTTAATAGAAGAGTCTGCTTTTTCTCTTCCTTCTTTGTGCCCAGTTCAATTTAGGAGAACAAGGCAATCGAGTGCAGTTTTAAACTAATAACAGTTCTCATGGGATGGAAAAAAACTCAATTTGAAAACTCAACATATCTGAACTTTGGAAAATGGAAAATGATTAGCTTTTCAGTAAGTCACTGAACACTAATTAGAAAAATAAATTAATGTGGGACCAATAAAAAGAATCCATTTATTAAGCTAGTTCTAATTTTAAATAAACAATTACTTGAATCAGTATTATTTACTATATCAATTACTTTACCAGTTCTAAAATTATTTTTAAGATACTGCTGCAAATTACATTAACTAAGTAACTGGCGTTAAGGTAAAAACATTGAGATTGGAGTTTCTTCCAAGCTCTGTGTCTTTCTCTTCTTAAACTAAAGTAACTGTCTGCAAAAAAGCATGTGAGAGCATTTTTTCTTAGATCATGTGATGATTTCTGTGTCTAAGTAAGTATCAAAGACAAGTGAGGAAAAAATTTATGGAGGAAATTCTACTATAATGTGCAGTCAGATATATTACAATACAATGGAGAGAAAAGCTTTTATATATAAAACTTCATATAAAAACATTTCTGAGGAGGAGAAAGGGCACTCTCTCCCTTCAGATCTGACGCTGTATCTCACTGAAGAGTTCTTCCACTCGCTTTCATATGAAAACACAATCAAGATTTTTTAAAGACTCAACCTGTGCACTAATTAGGAAGGAAAGGAGACCCTCACAGCTCTTTCTCAGCAAAGGGGCCAGTCACCATGGCAAAAGGATCTAAGAACTATAAAGGAGAATAAAAAGAATAATTTGAGCTGTAAGGATTCTGGAACAACAGCAAAATAAAAGAGATGGAGATATACTTGAAAAGATGAAACTTCTTTTAGCGAATAAGTGAAGACTGAAGCAGACTCCATTTAAGTGACACTGTCCAGCCCAGCCTAGGAGTACTCAGGAAAAAAAAATAAATCATGCAGGTAACAGCATCTCTTTTCTCCTAAACTAATGGAAGCAGAGACTTCAGTTTCTTTTTCCACTCGTATGTAAGGGATGCCGTTTCCAAACAAGATCACATTTGCTTTGTACTGGAGCACCGAGAAGAAAAGGAGTTTTGTAAACTAAATCAAAGGCAGTTTTGGGCTTCTGTCGTACACACACCTGCAAAGAAGGTTCCATGAATAGCATCCAAAGAATGAAATTTAACTTTAGCTAAAAACCCAATTGTGTGGAAAAATATAAAGCAACAACCTCCTGCTGCTTAGCTCAAGAGGAGCATCTTTAAGTGCCATATACTGTATCCTGTTCTATAAATCATGAGAGACTCTTTTTCTCATGTTGTCATCTCTGTTTATTTAGCTAAAAGAACCAGGACTAATAAGAGAATGTTGTTTTTTTTTTTCCATGTGACAAGATTTGTGAGGAAGGGAAACATAGGCTCCTTCCTACCCCTGCAATATGCTCCAGACTCTGTGACTGTAGCTTGCCAAATGAACTGAGCCCACAGTGCTGACAGTGAACTACAAACCAAATGCTTATTAATTGTTTTTTTTGGATGTAAGCATAAAACAGAGATCTTTCAGCATTATTTTGAAAAAGGAAAATGAGGAGGCAATAGTTTTTAGAGTCTAGTTTTAATAGCTTAGAGGCCCTGAGAATGGCTGCCAGTCTGGACAAACAGATGCTCCTTAAAAAATTCAGACAGGTACACAAAAAAATTCAAATTCTGATGCTGCTGGTGCAGTAATGTTGCTTTTTGTTGTTGCTTTGTTCATGCCACCATCAAACACAAAAAAAAGAAAAATAAAATCTAGGTATTTGGAACCCACCCGATCTGAAGAGGTGACTGGTGTGTTGTTCCTTGCAGCAGCATCAAGTTCCTCTCCCTGGATGGGAAAGCTTCTTCTTCCTTCTGCTGCTGCATTAATATTAAACAGTGATTTCATTTCTTGCTAGCGTTCAAAGCACATGAAGTCTCTGTCCTGCAAATACCACACTAATGTGTTTTGGTCATGTATAAAACAGAAATTTTTTCTCAGTTTTAACTTATCTATATGTTGAAGAGCTTTTTTTCTCCCACTGGTATTTGCTTGACTCAGAGGACTAGTCTCATCAAGTGTCTGTCTCCTCTCCCGCCCAAAGTCTCAAGTGGTCCATGTAAACAAATCAGAGCTGAAAACAGTCTCTTTTCCTCTTCGTAGAGCTGTTTTTATCGATATGCAGGATTTCCTGACAGCGTGGTGTTGGCTAAATGTAAAACAGGCAAAGGATGAGCTTCTGTGTTAAAAACCCAGTTGTCTAACGGTAGAAGGTCATCATTGGAGAAAAGCAGATACAAATACCTAGATATCAAGACAGAGAGGAAAGATGGTGGGTATTAAAGCAGAGCAACAGACAAGATGGGGCAACCCAGCAGCTTCAGGCCCCATTAGTCAGCAGCTAAAGCTATAAACAAGTTACTTGCTTTCAGTCTTTATACAGCACCCACACAACCTTCCCTATTATAATGACCTGAAAAGTCATTTTTGTAATGATCAAGCCCTTCAATGAAAAGTTGTTATAAAGACAGCATTTTAATTTCTCCAAGCAACTTCTGTTTTTCAAGACTCCTTTCAAAGACTTGCAATGTAAAACAAGCATCAAGACACCAAGCACAAGGATTTTGGGGACAGGGAAGCAAAGAAGTTGCCAAAAAATTCTTCTTAACAGATAAACATACTTAGAAATGACTAATCCTCTTTAATCTATACCAAAGATTTCAAGGAAGCACAAGAGAAGCCACTAAGCAATGCCAGATATCTAACTTGACATCATCATGCTGGAAGCTGGTTCAGTTTCTGGTGGGAGGAAATGGACCAAAATACTGTGCAGAAGGGATTCATAAATGTTGTACACTATAAAGCAATGCAGAGCAGATGAAGCATGTAAGAAAGTTAAGGTTTCTGGACATACACAGAAGTTTCTTAATACACACCTTTGTGCTATACTTTGTAGGAGATATTGGTGGTAGGGATCTTTGTCAAGGCTTCCAAACTCAATTGCTAAAATTCAAAAGGCTTTTCCCTTCCAGAAAACCTGACTGTGCAATTGAAGTCTAACACTATGGGGCTACAGGACCTCTCAGCTTCTCCTTCATCCTTCTTTCTGGCCATCCAGAAAATGACAAGTCTTGCAGCACATGAGAAGGAAGGGGTGTCATTCCTGTTAGTGAGCTCTGCCATGTCCAGTTGTTTCGCTCTTTCTCAATCAGGGGCTGGTGGTGTGTACTGCCTACAGTCATGGGCACTGCCTGTGACACACTTTCTCCCGTTGCCTTATTTGCCAGTTGTATCCACAGTACAACCCAGTCACTGAAGCTCTACTTTTTCTCCCCTTCCTCAGCAATTAACTGTTTACAGATAACGATTTCTTGCTGAGATGACTCAGTTTTCTCCTACATGTCTAGTGTCCTTCTCTACATTTTTCATTTGTCTCTAAAGCATCATGCCTTTACTTCCCTCTTTACTCCTTCCTTGCTTTTTCCCATTGCAGCTTTCCAAACTCTTTTACACCACAGGAGCAAAGTTTAATCTTACTCAAATTAACATTCCTCATTTGATTCACACTTTTCCTTTGAATAACTTAAGGAACCTATTTCTACATCTTGCTCCTTCCCAATCAACAGCTACCTTCTTGCCACTCATACTGCCCAAATGCTCACAATTTGCTGAGTATCTTTGATAAGCCAAAGTATCTGAGCAGCAACAATACATATTTGGGAGAGGTATAAATTTTGAATTTGAGGGGAATGAAGATGCAGAAGTTATCATCAATAGTATAAAAGATCACAGCAGGCATTCCAATACACATACTTTATGCCCCTCTCCTGAGGGACAGCATCTTTTTTCTCATGGCATCACACCCAACCCTTCCACCTTTATTTTCAGAGCCATTTGAGCTATTCTGACGCTATGTTCTCCTTTTTATCTCAAGGTGATACCGGTTTCTGGTTTGGCTATGCCAATCACATCAACATCAAATATCTAATATCCAGCTCTCCAATAAAACTTCATTTTGTCCCACAAGCGGGAAATGATCCAAACCAAAAGCCAATAAACATTTCTCAGTTCCTCCCTAGAACTGCCTTCTTTTGCAACGTTTGCACTATAGTACATCCTGTTACTGAGCGATGCATCAGTGAATTTTCAGATCTCCTCGTGATTATTTAAGATGCAGACAAGATTCTGGCAATACTTCAAAGGTCAGCCTTGTCACCACAGAAGTCCCTTAGGAGCAGATTCATTCTGTGATTTTGCTTTTATAGGCAGATCAATCATATAAAATCAGTTCCTGGGGAGGTATTGTTTCTCTGACACAACCTGTTTGAAACTCCTGCCTCTCTCTTTGGGAGTATAGCTTTAGGCTCCAGAAAATGAACTCAAAAAAGTAAGTGAAATAGAATTAATGAAGACAACAGAGGAAGTAGCAGTGGCTGACTTTATTTTTATAAAGATAGCATGGAGAAATAAGGTATTGTGACTATGCAGAGGAGTCTGGAAAAGGAGTCAGCAGAAGGATAGTATACCCATACTCTTCCCTTACATGTGATGAACTCTGAGCATCCTCTTGTCAGTGAAACATGGTGTGTGACGCACCTGTACTGCCACTGTCAGGACCCGCATTCTCTCCACTGCATTTTGAGCTCCCAATACTGAAAATCAATCTTCACATACATCAGCTACAGCTAAGATGGCTCCCTTAGTGGAGAAGGGAAAGGCTGTGGATGTTGTCTACCTGGACTTTAGTAAAGCCTTTGACACCATTTCCCACAGCATTCTCCTGTAGAAACTGGCTGCTCATGGCTTGGATGGGTGTACTCTCCACTAAGCAAAAAACAGGTTGGATGGCTGAGCCCAAATTGTTGTGGTGAATGGAGTTCAATCCAGTTGGCAGCTGGTCACAAGTGGTGTTCCCAGGGCTCAGTACTGGGGCCAGCTCTGTTTAATATCTTTATCAATGGTCTGGATGACCCGATTGAGTGCACCCTCAGTAAGTCTGTAGATGATACCAAGCTGGGTGGAAATGTTGATTTGCTTGAGGGTAGGAAAAATGTTGATTTGCTCTACAGAGGGATCTGGACAGGCTGGATCAATGGGCCAAGGACAGTTGTATGAGGTTCACAAGGCTGAGTGCCAGGTCCTGCACTTGGGTCACAATAACCCCATGCAACACTACAGACTTGGGGCACAGTGTCTGGAAAGCTGCCAGGTGGAAAAGGACATGGGGGTGTGGGTCAACAGCCAGCTGAATATGAGCCAGCAGTGTGCCAAGGGGGACAAGAAGAAAAACAGCATCCTGGCCTGTATCAGCAACACTGTGGCCAGCAGGACTAGGGCAGTGATAGTGCCTCTGTATTTGGCACTGGTGAGGCTGCACCTCGAGTTCTGTGTTCAGTTTTGGACCCTTCACTACAAGAAGGACATGGAGGTGCTGGAGTGTGTCCAGAGAAGGGCAATGGAGCTGGTGAAGGGTCTAGGAGCGGCTGGGGAAACTGGGGCTGTTTAATGTGAGGAAAAGGAGACTCAGGGGAGATCTCACACTGTCTACAACTACCTGAAAGGAGGGTGTAGCAGGGTGGGTCTCGGTCTCTTCTCCCAAGTAACAAGTGACAGGACAAGAGGAAACGGCCTCAGGTTGTGCCAGGGGAGGGTTAGGTTGGATATTAAGAAAAATTTCTTCACCGAAAGGGTTGTCAAGCATTGGAACAGGCTGCCCAGGGAAGCAGTGGAGTCACCACCCCTGGAGATATTTAAAAGATGTGTAGATGTGGTGCTTAGGGACATGGTTTAGCGGCGGCTTTGGCAGTGTTAGGTTTTTGGTTGGACTTCGTGATCTTAAAGGTCTTTTCCAACCCAAGGGATTATATGATTCTTTGTTTCTAAAACCTGAAAATTTGATGTTACTGATACTGTAAACTCTGCTGCTGTGTAGAAACCCTGTTTATTCTGCAAAGCCCACTAGGCTGCCAAATGGTTACAATTGTTTTTTTGTGATATCACTGGCTTGTAAAGACAGAAAGGGCAACTTCATGAGTCTTTGTTGCTGACAGGTGTATGCAATAAGATATGTATCATCCCTTCCATCGCATGTTAGCGGAAAGTGGCAGGATACCTAAGCAGAGGCAACAACTTATTCTAATAGCAGCTCTGGGCTCATTCACACTACAAGCAGTGGCTTCTGTCTATGGATTTAACCAAATAAAACATTCTCCAAACCGTTATGCAGGAGGGGGATCACAACCCCAGAGTGATCACAACTGTGTGACAAGAGTGCCCTTGATAGCTGCTTCGTTTCAGTGACGAAGGAGATGAGCAGCCATGACACGCTAGCTCAGTTTTAAAAATAGATCTCTTAATAAAATCTCCCTAATGTATTCTAGACTTTATACTAGTTTTTCTTATTGTTGTGGCATAACAGTTAAGGCATATTCCAGTATAGCATTTTTTGTTATTAATTAAAAAGAAACATGGTGGAAGACCAATGACTTTGAGCATTTTACCTTAAACCAAATATGCACCAGTGTAGGATGCACTATAGCTGTCCTACTGACTGAACTGCAAATAAGTATATATGAGATTATAAAATATGCCTGATATTCCTGCTTACAACAAAAAGCATTCTAGAAAAATACGCTGTGGGACAAATACAGAAAAATCATCCAAGGGCATGAAGGGCTTTTGTTCCATGCATTTACTCCCTTCCAGTGACACACACAGGAGAAACAGGTTCTACAATATCAGAGCATGGCACATACTTTTATAAGACATGCCAAAAAAAAAAAAAAAAAAAAAAAAAGTCTTTTACAAAGGGAGTTTCTTAAAAGGAGACAACCTCTCCTCTGCTCTGATGCCAGAAATCAAATAGAATTCTGTCTTAAAAACCAAAACTCAGCATAAGCTTCTTGTATGGGAAATTCCACTTGTATTTTCTGCTGGTAAAATGGCCTGATCTAGGACCCTAAACCTGAGAAAAAAAATAACCCAAACCATAAACCACCTTGACAAAACAACAGATTTTTTTGTTGAGCCACGATACTCTTCTAAAATTTAGATGCTAGCTTTTACAGGAAGATGCAAGAGTGAAGAGAACTTACTTCAAAGTTTCAGCAAGGAAAAAGCTCTGCTGTACATCATCGTATGTAGGAGATGAGGAATAGACATCCTTGACACCAGAAAAGCCACCACTGACTCGGCAATACTTGTCAATTGCCTGCAAAGAGGACAGGAAAAGAAAATGAGAATTTAATTGTAAAGCAAAATTTGGAAACATTAAAGGATCAGGCTTGATCAACAAAGTAGATAGCTCTTTCCATGCTGCATTATTCTGTTGTGAATCTCCTCGTCAGAGGATGCTGTGGATGTTAACAGTTTATGCTGACCAAAAAAAAAATAAAAAGGAACTGGACACACAGAAGTAAAATCCCTCCAGGGCTACTAACACCATCATATTTAGCAAACTGCTAGACGCTAAGAAAATATTCTGGGGAAGAATACTTTCTTTCCTAGGTATTTACTGTTGACTGATACTGATGACAGTACATGGACTCAGTAGACTTGAGCAGCTCTGAGCTGTTACAGCTCCTCATACATAACACTGAGTAGAACATCCATCAGTCAATCAACTCAACACGTGCTATGAGGGGCATAGGAAAATGACAAATGTCCCTGGATTTTGCAGCTGGAAGAGTTTGAAGAGTTACAGGAACTCCGTGACTAGTAACTAGTCACAGGGACTTACTGTAAGTAGGAATAAAATACTGTACTCATGTTTAGGGGCTGTGGATTTCTTCTTATAAACTCTTCTAGCTGCTGCTTTCTCCCCACATTTCCGTCTCCTACATGTGCTCTTCTCTGTTTCCCCTTTATACAGCTGAAACTCAAGTCAGCTTGTGTGCTGGACTGCAGAGGAGCTCTTTATCTTTAAAGGATGAATTTTAAATCCATAAACATTCCATGCAGAAAGGGGCCAGTGGATCTGTGATTCACAAACCACCCAGCTAGTCAGCTCCAACACAATACTGCAAAAAGCACAATGGAAGAGGAGGAGACTGGAAAGAACAAGTTAGTAGCTCAGAGCACCTCTCGCCTACGCTTTCATTATTCCACTCACATGCACGACCTTAAAGCACACAAGGATATCAGCCATTAAAACCAGCTCCAAAGAAACTACTCTGAAATGATTCACACGTTATTTGTGCTTCCCTGCTGCTTCAGCAGTGCTTCCTCAGCAGACACCAACTCTTTTAATAGATTCTTGCAGGGACAGAAAAGGCACAGTGATGAAGGGAAATGTTTGGCTCAGGATATCTGTCATTACTAACTACTGAACGTAGCTACCTGTAGTTCAGTAATCTACGATTCAGCCCGTTAGCCTGTATGAAGTTTCTCTCTACATGGTGCTTTAGGCCCAGATTTTTGTTAATTCTGATTTTTTGCTAGTTATACTCAACAGAAGCTGAGAAGAGTCAAGGCAGGGGAGCAAATAAGTTCTGAATGAATTAACTCTTCAAGGTCCTTAGTATAGCCTTTGCATACTGGGAAACAAAAGAGAATTTTCCATTGGACACATGCGTGAAGAATGCTGGTGACAGATGCCATGACTGAAATCAGGAGGAAAAGTGAATAGGCAAATGAGCAAGGCACCTAGGACAGTAAGTCACAGTACATCAGGTACTACAGCTAGCTTCCTCGTAGTATACGCTTTTACCCTGTGGAAATGTGAAGTTGTTCATGGACCAAAGAATAATCCAGACTGTACAAAGTTCTTTCAAATTTCTAAAGATCAAGATTTTTAAAGAAGCAAGAGGAGAGACTGGCAAAAGGATGTTACTGGAATGGCTGTGGCTCTAGAGCCTGAGCTTATGCCCAGAAAGGTACAGTCCTTCCTGGCAAAATCTAACTCTTCTGTAATTCCTTATCTCAAGTGGAGCTTTTCCAAGTTCAGATGGAAATGCTCCCTTTTTTATTGGGACTTGATACTAAAAGTATAAAGTATCTGGATGAGTCCTTTTCAGATCTGGTACTGGTGCAGGCTAGGGCTACACTGAGACTATTCACATGTTGGGATTTGGGTTGACCAGGTTTTCCCCACAGTCTGGAGAGAAAGATGTATGCACCACATCTAGCCCAACAATGACAATCTCTTTGTCTGCATGCTCTTGCACGTCACAAATGATGTTAGCTATCAAAACAAAAGTCAAACAAAAAAAAAAAAGGAAAAGAAAAAAATTAATTGCTTGTCTGACTTCTGAAGAAATAATACATACGCTGTTTATGGAACCATTTGCACGTTCCTCCCCAGAAGTCCTACAGCCACTAGGCAGGTGTGATATGAATAAACAAGAACCAAAGCACTTTTACTTTCTAGACAGGAAATGAAGTGCCTCCTCTTGCTGCTACTCCCTTTTTCATAATGGTGCAGAACATGACCTTGTCTCTTCTCTGGAGTGTGGCAAGATAGCGGGGAAGCTCCAATGGTTCCAATCCTGCCAGAATTTCCAACACGCAGAGTCTGACCTTGCATGTGTTCCTCTGGTCAATGATTCAGCAACCTGGACACTGCGTGCCACAGCTTGGACAGGAGAAACTTGCTAGCGATTGTGACAAAACGAAAAGAAGGAACAAACGGTACCACTGTTAGGACGCTGCCTCCTTCAACTCGTTTATTCTGGAGACTGCAGACAATAGCTAGCACTGAGATCCTGCTCTCTGCTGTAGAGGTCTCATGCTTGGATAACTAAGTGCAACACTGATGAAGCTAGCAGACTCAGAAGTCTGAAGAAAGAAAATGTGAGATGTATACTGATTTTTTTCCCCCTTACAATTACCAAGTAGTCTTTTATCTTCAGAAATTTTTCCTTGGGGAGACAGACTCTGGCTGGACTGGAGCTCAGGATAGTTAGAGGATTTATCCCGGTTTATCAGAGATCTAGACACTGCAGGTAGTAATGAACTATAGATGAAAAATTCCTTTGAAAGATAGCTATTCATCCAAATATGGATAAACAAATTGTCCTTGATTCAGAGGCATACAGAACTTCAGGACGCTGGCTGAAAAGGTTGGTGTTGTAGACAATTTACTTAAAAGGCATTTGAAATTTGAAGTGTTCTGCCTTAGTATTTGGTGTAGTGGCATCTGATTTACCACCTGGATACACTTTCAGTCAAGACCAGACGCCTTGATAAAACAATGGTAAACTTATTGCACCCTAGAATACAGGGAAGCCCTACATGAGTGGAAGGGTATCAAGGCAATGCTACTATTATGAAGCACTGGCAACCTGAATAATTTTAGGCTAGCATACCTGACGTGAGTTTCAAACAATTATGGAAACACATGTAAAAAATACAGACAAATAAGAGGGTAATTGACACCAATCAGTATGGTTTTATAGAAAACTATCTTGCTCACAAGCTTGATTTCATTCTTTGAGCTCTACAAATTGACAAATAAAGGTAGCTGCAGAGCTGTAATAAACTTAAAAGTTTCTAAAGCAATTGACATGGTGTCATAAGATGTTATGCTAAGACAGAGCAGCACTATACCATATCAATATCACTATCTTAATTTAAAACTGACTGACAGTGCTCTAAGAATGAGTTGACAATGTAAAATAATCACCAAATAGAGCTGCTTCTCACAAAGACCCACAAGGAACGGTCTGAAGTTTTATCAGTCACTGCAACACTGCTGCTGGCAAAAATGACATAGGTAAATAACAGCAGACAGTGTAATCTGGTGGTAACTGGGACCCAAAGAAAATGAGTTTCATATAACCGGGCACATAATCCTAAACTGAGACATAAAAGCTGTGTAACTTCAAAGAATTCAGTGGCCACATGAGACAATTCAGTGTGAGTTCCAGCAAGGATATTGTGGCAGGTGCACACACAGGGACAGTAAACAGTAGCAGGGATATAATTCTACTTTTGCACAGGGCTGTGGGTAGTCAAAACCAGAATATGCAATTCTAAAATAAATTTTTAAAAAAGGATGATGAACTGACACAAGAGTAGACATTTGGAGAAAATGCTTTACAGTGAGAGACAATACAATTTGTTCAGTATCTTAAGTAGGCTCAGTAGTAAGCTTATTACAGTCTATGAAAGCTTTTTGTAAAGAAAACATGGGGCAATAAAAGACATTTTAATATGGTCTAGGAAGTCATAGAAAAATCCAGTGATTGACGGCTGAAACTAGACAAATTCAAATGGGAAATAAAGCATATATTTACAGCACAAGTAATTAAATAATGGAACAAACTACCAAAAGAACGGGATTTTCCAGTTCCCTTTATTCAAGAAGAATATGCAATAGTCTACTCTTGCCAAATACCTGTGTCTCGGCTCAAAAATGACACAAAGTGAAATTTTAGGGCCTGTGACATATGGGGAAGTCAGAGTTGATCCAAGTTCTTTGGAAATAAAATTGGAGGTGCCTCTAGATCAGACCCCAGCTCCTTCAGTTCTTCTGAGGGTGTTTTGGTGCTTGCATGTGTGACTCTTCTTGACTACGCCAACAACACGCTCATAAAAACTGTGCCGATTTCTTCCCCACCTGTGATACTCACCACTTCCAACCCATGAACTATGAACCCACGTTTCTTTTTCCTTCAACCTATGCTTGGCTCTTTTCTGTCTACTTTGCTTCACTAGGTAGAGAGCTATAGGTCTTTCCACTCCATCTTACTGTCAGTCCTCCATTTGCCTGAAGTTAGCCCAAACTTGAGGTGTTGTATATTATTTTCACTGCAAGTAGAAATTCTGAATGAACTCCGCAGCTTCTATGGTACGATCATACTTAGCCAGACATGCAAGTCCCCAACAAATAGTTGAACTCTTAATTCACACAGCTTAGATTAGTAATTGGCTTTACATGCCGACTGTGAAGTGGTGGCTCTTATTGCTTTCAAATAATCAGTCTAAATCCTAAAAAGGATTTTAGTCATTTGCTGTATTTACCCTGAATATCTTGTATGTGTATTTCTGTAACACTTCAGCCAGCCCCGCCGGCATATCATCATCCAATTTAGCTGGCCCAATACAATTGAGATGGATGTTGTCTCTAGTGCTATGTATAGTATTAGGGAGAATTAGCCTTTTTTTATATTAAGAAAGAGATAGAGACCCTGTCACAGGGATTTATGATCACCGAAGGAATATAAAATTAAACTTCTAGGTTTTTCCCCACAGATTTGGAGAGATGTGACAAAACAGGCCTTGGTCAAAGCATGTCATCTGCACTAAAATGCCCAGGTTTTGTCTAAAAATCTAGATAATATAGCCAAAAAGAGCTGACAATGGTGAAATAGATAAAGAAAGTACAGTACAAAGATCTGCATACACACAGTCCAGCTCTCTGTACAAATTCCCATTGTTAAAAGGTACAGAGGGATCTGGGCTGGGAGTGCTAAAGAAATTTAAGTAATGCAATATACTTAAGAGCCAGGTGGTTCTGCAATGTATCATCTCTGAAGAGTTCTTAAAATGACAGAAGCGGATCTCTAACATATCGGTGAAGTAACTGAAATCCATTTGAGTAGGAATCTATTTGGGTAGGGATGTATTAATCCATTCAAAGAAGCAAACAAGGGAGACCATCAAAAATTCAGTCATCAAACACCAGGTTACACCAGGTTCAATGTACAAAAATAAGACCATTTAAAATGGAAACAAAACACCATTTTCCCAAAAGTTTAAAAGAACTACTAGACTTCCGATAGAGAAACTATCATTCACCATGAGAAGTCTGTAATACAGACTTCAAAGTATGCTTCAGTGGTTGAAAGGCAAAAAGAAAGCGAATAAAGACAGTGTTTTAAAAGAACAGCAAGCCAACTGCTCTGTGTATCATACCAGATTCTTCTCTATTTATAAATGGAGGAATAAACACAAGCAGAGCTGTGTGTGGTAGGGAAGAAGGAAAAATACTGAGTAGGTGTGAGGAGTAAACACAAGAACTTATTATTATACCCAGGGAACAGAAAACCCTGGGGAACAATAAGCTTCCCAAGCTTCTGTGTTAGTATGATGGCAGGGTAAGAAAATCTGTAATTGTGGGAGGGAGGGGTATGCAAAACCATTTACGAAGTGTTCAAAAATATTTTATGGCTATGTTGCATAAGGAAACTTTTTATTGAGGAAGCAAGCAAAAAAAGGCGCTCTGTAAAGACAGAGGCAGTAAAGCACATGGGCTGCTTGATTTACACAACTCCAATGCAGGCTGACAGAAGGATAAAATGAAATGCTACCCTGCACACAGAGAAAACTGGAGGCAGGGGAGGAGGAAGGGAGGGTTTGGTTTGAAAGCATTAATGAGGACCAAGATATAAAGGGAAATGGAGAAAATGGAACAAAATGCAATTAAACTACATGCTTTGCAGTGTGCCTAAGAGACAGATCCTGGCCTGAAAAAAATTTACATTTGTAAATTCTTTAACCTAGTACAAAGGACCCAATCTCAGCTTGGATTATACAGCCACAGCTTCTGACAGGAGCTGGTGTTAGATCAGCAAGCATTTGTAGTACGCACACTGGCAAGGAGTAGGTTACTAAAGCAACTTCTTTGTCATATTAGAAACATGCCTAGTTTGAGCAGGAGGGATGATGTGACTCAATGTTTGATATTTAGAAGAGATCAGCAATGCATTCTGGAATACAAATGTGGAACCTCTCTCCAGAGTAACATAATGTTTGTTATAACAAAACTGTCTAGAAGGCAAAACCTAACCAAGACTAAGACACAATCTTAACATATTTGGACTCTTCTACATGATTGTAACTGCACTGAGGGAAAGACAGGAATGAGCTCAGCTAAATATTCTGAACCTGCCTTATCTATCTTCCACCTGATGAATCCTCAGCACAGGAAAGACATGGACCTGCTGGAGCAGGTCCAGAGGAGGCCTCAAAAATCATCAGAGGGATGGAACACCTCTGCTGTGAGGACAGGCTGAGAGAGTTGGGGTTGTTCAGTCTGGACAAGAGAAGGCTCCATGGACACCTTATTGCGGCCTTTCAGTGCCTGAAGGAGGCCTATAAGAAAGATGGGGACAGACTTTTTAGCAGGGCCTGTAGCGATAGGACAAGAGGTGACGGTTTTAAACTGAAAGAAGGTAGATTGAGGCTAGATATAAAGAAGAAAATTTTATTCTGAGGATGGTGAAACCCTGGCACAGGTTGCCCAGAGAGGTGGTAGAAGCCCCATCCCTGGAAACATTCAAGGTCAGGTTGGACAGGGCTCTGAGCAACCTGATCTAGTTGAAGATGCCTCTGCTCACTTCCAACTCAAATCATTCCATGATTCTATGAATACAGGCTCCTCAACAGATCTCATCCTCCAAGTACTTTTTCTGTGCCTCTTGCCTCTGGAGTGAAACTGTTTTTCACCTTTAAATAAAGTTTCTCCACCTTTAAATAAAGTTTCTCCAGGTTCTTGGTTCACTTCTTCCTTTGCTCTTCCCTCATCCCCTTTGGCTGCAGTCAAAATATTTCATTAGTATCTTGTTATCTTTAATGTTTAATCTTATCTCTGAAATTGGCTTTGAGCTGTGTTTCCAGAGACCGCTGGAGTTGTAGCAGGGAAGTGGAGGAGCTGTAGTAATTCACAGATCTTGAAGAGGATCAGAAAACAGCTTGGCCAGCAAATTAGTTTTTGCACGAGCCCAGTACAGACCAGCAGATGGAAGCAGTGAGAAACATGACACCAAAAAGGGCTCACAAATTCAACCCTAGGAAGCATTTAAAAGGCAAAGTCTTTCGGGGATTATAAATAATTTTTACATTTAGAATATTGTATTGTCCCATGAAAATGAAGCCTAGTTATTCATATAGCCCCTAATCTGTGACTACCAGATAAAGGAGTTATCCATCTGTGTACAAAGGATGAATGAAGGAAGGCCACGAGCACAGATCTGTGCAGAGTCTTAAAATGAATCTGAGCTTCTGTAGAGCAGTACAAGCATTTCCAATGAGACAGACTCAGAAGCATTTTCACACTTGGGAATTTGATTAAAACATTCAACAAGTAGATTTAAACCCAGGAAAGCAGCTATTTTTAAAAAAGGCAAAAATCTGTAAAATACCTTAGCAGCAATTTTAAAGTTCTGCCTTATGTGCCATTACTTACTGACTTTCTTTTATGATCTACTTCTTGTGATGCTGTAATTTTTTGTTATAACTGAATAAGTCTAAACTTACTGACATTTTTTTTTTCCTTCCAGTCAGGCAACTAAGCAAAGAAAAAGCCATGATACCAACCCACATATACGTATGTTCATGCTATCTAGTCTACAAACCACCTGAGACCAGTTGTCCTACCACTTATGTTTTAATAGCTGACCAAGAACTGTAAGAGTAGCTTTGTCTTCTAATCTAAATTGAGTGTGAACACATGCTTAACAAAGTTATTTATAATACACTTCCATTTCCCAAGATAAATTACCTCTCTCGGGGACTGTAGACTACTGATAACAGTAGGAGTCATGACGAGTGGATTCTATTTCCACGTCTAAAACTCATCAGCTGTATAATGCTGAACATATCTCGCATCTGTGCATCTGATTCAGCAGTTGCAAACCAGAAATAATTGCATGCACGCCATATGTACCCTCCTTTATAGGAACTCGTGAAAATCAATTATCGTTTGAAGTGTTTCAATACCACAAGATTAAAGTGGCTGCAAAAGGAAAATACATATAATTAACTCACTGACAGGTAATTAATACAGTTACCTGTGTTGCCTCCCAGCCCCACTGCCTGTACTTGGGATCGTGGGTAAATCGCCACATATACCAGTAGGTTTCAATCACCTCCGGTCTTAGGATGTAATACTTCTCGTTCTGCCGCACCGCCACTGCCTCTACACCACCATCAAATTTGAAGGCTTCTGGACCTAGTTTTAATGCTGCAGAGGAAAGAAAAAATTAAAAAAAAAAATAAAAAAATAAAAAGAAATAAAAAATTTATTCCTTACCAATCTTTGCAGGAAGGGTGGATAGGAGGCTGCTATATCCCAAGTGTGTGAGAAAAGCAGAAACTAGCTTGTCTTTAAGCAATCTCATAAATATTTCCTATTGTTGAGGCCTATAATTTTTCTTATGAATAATTTATTCAGTTCCTGTGAGAAAACTACCTATCTTGACAGAAGTACAGTAATCCTCTTGAAAACTAATGAAACGCTAAGAACATAAACACACTAACACTTTCAATTATAGGATAAAATTAAAGTGACTGACATTAGCTCTTTACAAACAAGAAAAAAAGAAAAAGAAAAAAAGAGTTCAGCAAAGGTTTTGATGCCCTTTGATCCCACCCAGCACAGCGGGAAAAGATCTTAGAACAAAACCAGGTACCATCATCTCAAATAACCTGTAACTTTATCCAAACTCTCTCGGTTTAGGGAAGTACTGTCAAGGCATCATAACTGATGTGCTTCATAACGTGATCCTCAAGGAAAGGGTTTACAAGTAGTTGATGAAAACTTAGCCACACCTAAAAATAAATCTCTGAACTAAGAGATTCAGTATTTCAGCCCTTAAAGGAAGCTGTAACGGCCCTGTGCTAGCAGCTGGAATACTGTTCATATAAGAAGGAGGTACCTGTAGAAAAACTGTCTATATGAAAATGCAATTACATATATTTTTATTAATTATACAGCTACATGTTATTTCCTATAAATAATGCACTCTTACCTACAGCTGCACCCCACCTTTTGCTTTGGCAGAGAATTTTTAAGGTGCTGAATTCTGAAGCTGCACTCAAGCTTTAAAAATTATCAAAGCAATTAATCATGCAATTCCTATGGGCTAGAGGCTTGAAATTAACCAGTCTCATGAGTCTGAAAGGGGAACACCTTAGAATACTACAATGAAGAATATGAGCACCTCCCAGTTTGTGCCTCAGCAGAAAATCTCCAAAAAAAGTTTCTTAATCTTTTTTTGTTTCGAGGGAGTACAGCTCTGGATGACAACAGAAAAAAGCACCACTCTCCTTCAGCCACATATGTGGTAAGGAAAACTCCATCAAGAAATGTGTATGATACTTCTTTCAAAGTGGGCCATTTTACCAGTTTCAGTAAAAAAAAAAATTACTAATTTTACAGCAAAATCAATGAGATTAGATACAGAGTTCAATCTATCCAAAATTAAGAAGACAAGAATGGCCGTACTGGACCAGATGGAAGTTCTGTCTGGTCCAGTATCATGTCTCCAACAACGGCCAAAATCAGACAAGGATGGGGAAGAGAAAGGACGGGCCAAGTATAAGAGATACATTTTTCCAGCTTCTCGACCAGTCTACCAGTTTTTTGGAGCTCAAGGCTTCTCCTAAACTAGACATATTTTTTAATGTGATCAACAATTCTTAACAGATTTATTTCCCAAGTACATAGCCGCTGTTTCCTTAAACCCTTAAGCATCCGAAACAACCTCTGCTAAGGAGTTCCACATCTCTAATAACTCTTCAGTGTAGAACCACCTTTTTTTGTTCTTTTCCATTTTCAGTTTGATTCCTACTAGATTCATTCAATAGTCTCTAGGTCTTGTCTTGGAAAAGAGAGTGAACAATTGATTCCTATCCACTCTCTCCAGTCCCCTGGTGATTTTGCAAATTTGTTGTATCCTACCTAAAACATTCCCCTTTTCCACACTGAAGAATACTATCCAATTCAGTTGTTCCTTGAATGGAAACTCTTCCATACCTTTAGTTTTCCTTCTAGCCTTTTTCTGCAACTCTTCCAATACTACTATAGCCTTTGTGAAATGAGAGGATCAGCCTGAATACAGCACTAAAAGTGTGGACAAGATTAATACAGTGCCATAATGACATTTTCTATTTTGCTCTCTCTCACTTTGTTTTTCCTGACTGCTACTGAGCTGACATTTTCATAATCTCAAGAGCAATTTCCTGAGTTGTAATGGTCAGTTAAGAGCTCATAATTTTATGTGTGAGGTTAGGAATAATTTTTTTCATAGGTGCCTCACTTTACATTTAACTACACTGAATTAAAGTTAGTAATTTATTATGCAATTACTCAACCTCCTAAGGTCCTTGTGTAATTTTTCAGCTTTCATCCTTGCTATCCTGAATAGCTTTTTTTCAGTTATAAACACATTTAACTTACTGTTCCTGCCCTTTTCCTGATCATTTCTATATGTGTATATATGCATATATTTGTTATTTATATATACACACATACACATTAAAATACAAAATGTAAATATACTATGCATTTATACCCATCTATACACATGTGTGTATAAATATACTATACTTTTATACACATATGTGCTTAAATATGTATCAAATATATCAGAGTACCACTGGTTAACCACCATCTGTCCATTGCAAGACCTGACTGTTTACCTCTACCCTATTTGTTATACTACAACCATTTTTCTTCTCCATGCAGATACCTACTGCTTATCCTGTAGTTGTTTAATATTCTTAAAGGGCTTTAGCAGAGAACTTTTGAAAAAGCCTTTTGGAAATCAGGTCAACTATGTCTGCTGTATTACTTTTATCCACCAAAGAAGCTGGATTTTAGGCAGTTCTGGTGATGAATCACCTACAGATACTGTGACACCTTCCCTCGCTTTGTAGCTTGCTGGTGCGTTACATCTTTAATTATTTACTTGTATCTACTTCTAACATTATTGGCCACCCCAAGAAATTATACCACCTATGGATGGGTGACCTCTGCATATTGTGACAAGCTCACTGAATTTTTATCTGAAACCAAGGATGCAAAATTTATTACAGCATTTCTACTAATAGCTGACTGAAGTAAAGAAGGTACTATGAACATCGTACCTTTCAGGGCAGCATTCCTCTAAGCAAAGAACTAAGGCCATTTTACAGTGCTACAGTGGTCACACTTTAATCCAGGTATTTTAGTATTAATGGATCTGACAGACTGTAGTCTAGGCAGGGAAAGCAGATGAGAAACAATTTCATATCATAGTGTAAAATTGCAAAGCTAAACTTCTACCATTTTAAAAGAGATTTTAACTGATTTAAAGTTGATTTCAATGAGAGATTAATTTAGTACTGCTGAAAATCAGGGCAAGTCCTCAGACTTCTAGAGATATTTTTATATATCTAATTTTAGAAATAATGTTGAAAACATTGTTAAATTTTTTGTGTTCCTTTAAGACTACAGCCAATCTAGTAATAAGTTTACTGAAAGTAAGAAAGCATTCCTAATTATAAGGATACTATCTAGGCTCTAACTCAAATAATATTTGAGGAAGAAAACCTCCAAGATACATTTGTTTGAGACTCTCTGAACCATTCCATCAATGTACACTGTTATTTTATACTTCTCACAAAAATAATTATTCTTGTTTCTTCATCTTTGCCTGTTGAGCTGCTTACTGAGAGTCCTGGGACAGAGACAGCATCTACTCATACCCTTACAATGTCTCAGCTGAAATCTTAGTCATCTGTCTTAGTCTGCATTGGAATTGTCATCTGTACAAAAAGAGCTAAGGCTGTACCCAGATTCTGAGGATGGTTCTTGTCAAGAAACTTTAAAAGATGTACAAAAAACTTCATCCTAAAATAATCTGTCTGTAATCAGTCAATACTTTACATACTATCAGCTAATGGCTGGGAAAATTCTTATGTATAAGGGATGGTATATGTGTTGGGTTGTTGGAGGGGGTGGGGGTCAGTGGTTTTTTTGGTAGTGGGGGAAGAGCCACCTTGTGAGAGTGAAAAGCTCCCCTGGCTCCAAGGCATAGCCCCCCAGCCCAGGCTGGGCCAATGAGCACTAGAGAAACACCTCTGCGAATCCATATTTGTGAGGGGAAGGACTGTCCTGAAAAGAAGTAGGTGGAGAGAACCTGGAGGAGAGACCATTTACCTGAACAAAAGACAACCATCGGACTAAACAAAGGACAGACAGACAGAGAGAGCTTCATTGCCAGAGGAAGGAGGAGGAGGGGAAAGGACAGAGAACCTCGAGACACCCAGTTCAACCAAATGGAGTAGAAGACAAAGGAAGTCCCGAAATGCGGTAAACGGGCATACAGATCAGAGCATTCTTTCTACCTTCGGTTCTCTCAATCTTCTCTCCAAATCACTGGACTATAGAAAAGTCTTGACATGGATGGGAGATTTAGGATGACTGCAACAGTAGTCTATTAATAAGTTATGGTACAGAAAAAAGCAGAGTAGGTAGGAAGCAGAGGCATGTGTAGATCACACAAGACTATTTGGTTACAGTTAAGTTTTCTGACTTTGACCATCAACAAGCCTTTTCAAAGCCTTAGTGTTTCCAAGGGGTGCCACATGCATTCACAACTTCCCAAAGAAAAGAGAAGCCTTGGGAGTCTCATGTTGACAAGTTCAATGGATCCTGGAAACACAAATCCCTTGCTCAGTGTCAGATCAGAATCATGCCTGTACTCCCTGTCTTCACCTTCCAAAGACTATCAGTTTCCTCCAGCTAGTGAATTAGAAAGGCATCCTACAGGGAGAGCTACAGATTGATCCTCATCTTAAACAGAAAATCTACAGAGATAGAGCAACGGCAAGGGCCTGAGCTTCTCAGGATATCCCAATCGCTTCTTCAGCCTAAAACACAGGAGTCTGAAGTCTCCTCTCAGATAACTCTAGAGAACATTGCTAGGTGAATCAGATTATCAGAGAGATTGTGTCTCTGCACAAACCTCTCACGGATTACATGGCAGTGATGACAGTTGTCACTGGGAGATAAGGCCCATGGAAATACACCAGGAATGGTCGCAAGAACTTTCCAACTTCTCTGTTCTAAGCAACACTAGGGAGCAGACAGCATAATGAGACATGAAACAAGTAACTTAAGTGCTGACAGAATGCAGTCTGGTGGGAAAGGGAATATGAAGGATGTAGCAACATCTAAAAGGACAAAGACAAAACTTGCAATAAGTCATACAGGAGAAGGCTGTCACAGGTGGACAGACCACCTTATATTTGGACAATGAGACTTGGGCCTGATGTGAGAAAATAGTGTGTGTAGGATAGCCAAATCTTCTCAGGGGTAGGTCTGGAAGACGTGCTCCCAAAACACAGCAGGGTCTCAACTCAGCTTAACTATCCAAAGCTAAAAAGCCCCAAGCTAACCTGAAAGGAATGATTAAGCTGCTTTCAATTACTCAATCACTTGTGTAACAAAAGCAGGTACTTTCACTCAGGTTGGGTTACTATGATGGCCAAGTACCTTATGAAAAACCTTAGATCTGTACAGAAGTCAAGCAACTGACTTTTGAACTGGAATGGGTCTGTTTCTACCACAAGACCTACCTCCTGTTATCTGTTTTAACTGAGATGTAGAATAAGGTAATTCTTGAATTCAAGAGACAAAAGTCCTTCTCTCTGTACAGCTAGGATGATCTCCTCCATGACCATCCTGAACTAAGCTTATGTATGAACCATGCAGCCCTCCTAAGTCCAAAATGGGGTCTCATCCTTCCTCCACATCTGCCTCTTAAAAAAAACTATTCATCTTAGTATGACCAAAGCAGCAGCAACTACCAACAATAATAGTGTTAGGTAATGAGGAAGAAACTGAGTCTTGTAGGCTGAGATTGAGTATCATCACTTGGCCCAGCAAGACATGGAGGTGCAATAGGCTGTGGCCTCTCTAAGATAGCTTCACAGATCTGAGGTTGGTCTGATCTATATGTTGGAAGACATGCCATGGCGTCATGCCAGCAATAAACTCTCCAAAGCTTGGTGACGTATACCAAGGCGTACACACAAGGTGATGATGTACTTTAACTTGTGTCACACTTTCAATTGAGTTATGAAATGTTCTAAAATATTCAGCAAGGCCAAATGATGCACTGTGAGCATCCAAAAAACCTGCAAGAGATCACTGATACACATTCCAGGGGACTAAGGAATATCAAAATATCAATGGAAAGCTCTCATTCCAATGATGCCAAAGCTAAGGCAAGTCTACAATATTACTGTGCAAATCTGTGACCATGTAGCAACTTTTGCTTTTTACATTGCAAAATGATTGCTGTTGCCAAAACAGAAAGAAAGGATGGGCAGCAGAGGGTATTTTTTCACCCGTAAAGTGGTGAAAAAGCAGAATGCTCTTGTATCTGCAATCCTCCCAAATAATTTGTAGCAAAACACACATCTTCTCATCATGCATCTGGGTAATGTAAAGTAAGTATCTGAGCTTGGGAATGGGTTAGAACATGTTTGGGAGCACTAACTCAGCTAGGCTTGTGTGGGATTCCTGTAATACATTCTGTTACTCCACCTGTCAATTAGGAGAGGAGGGTGTAACTGCCTGCTGGGGCAAAGGCTCTTAAACACCATGAAGTTCTGCCACTGAGAGCACAAACTGGATGGAGACAGAATGCTTGAAATCAAGGGGTAGACCAGAAAACAGAGGATTCATAATGACCTCAAGGGTCTAAGAAACCATCAACAGAAGCAAATGCATCCAAGAGACCAGAGAGATGGTCTTAGAAACTATGAGAGCCCAAGCAATCATGATTCAACAGGTGACTTCTCATATAAATTGTGATAACTTCACAAGTTACCACAAAGGTAAATAAATGAAGAAGAGGGGCAAAGAGAGCAGAACAAGTGAAATATAGCTTGACAAAACAAGTCTCTCTCATTAAAGGCGGCTGAAGTCACCAGAAATGCTCTGCCTTTTAGAGGGTGATCAAGTTTGAAGATATAGGGTAATGTATGAGGGAAAAGTGACCTAAGAGGATACTATTACTGTCTTTAAAAAAATCCTAATATATCAAGAACCTCCAGCCACAAATGTCATGGCAAAAAATCACTTCAATGCGCAATAGGCATGTGAACTGTCATTGCAAGACATTGGCATTTTACTTGTTATCACACTGGTAAAATCTGTCCAGATCAAAGCTACTCCAATGGACTTTGTCTGAAAACCAGAAGTCCTGGACCATATATCATCTGTTAGGTCATAATTTTTACTTATTTATGCAAGACATGGAAAGCATGATTTCAAACCACAATTTCAGGAGTTGGTATTCCATGATTTACATGGTAACATTATTGTAAAGACAGTAACAATATATAGTAACAAATATAGAATTTAGTTTGTCTGAAGCTTTCCAAAATAGCAAATTTTTAAAATTTTTTTTTTAAATAGGCTTTCATACCTGCAATATGTGCAGCAGGCTGCTGACAGTTAGCAATATAACACCCTTCTTTTCTAGAAGTTTTTTTTATTCTGTGAAATTCTGTTTCAATTTTGCTGAGATTGGACCTTGAAATAGCATTTTTTCCCTCATGCTCAGCCCTTATGGAAACTTAGGTTGCTTTAGTATTTTTATACTAAAATATTATAAAACAAAGCATATACTGCAATTTATTATGAGCAATCCTGGGAAGACACAGGAAAGAACAGCTCTGGTTGGTTTATCCGAAGAGAGGGTTTTTTTCTGCAACCAGTTAGTCCTGTCATTAAGTGTACAATTATGTCTCACATCCTGCTGCTAAGGCATAATGAAGAAGTTGCCATTTCCCATGTAACAGTTCTTCGTTTTCTTTGAAAAATCAGTCCAGGCAAAAAAAAAAAAAACAACCAAAAAACAAACAAACAAAAAAACCCCCAAACAAAAAAATCCACATTCCTGAGATCGCATGACTGAACAAAAGAAAACTAGGGCACTGCAAATTTACAGCTGTCTGTACAACTTTCAATCTGTTTCTTGCATGTGTGTTTTCTTATACAGACATTAAATATGTCACCAAAACTTTTATTCTCCCCATCTTTTGACTTATTTAGGGTACAGAATAAACATCTGAAGGAATAAAATTAGGACTGCACACACAACTGTAAATTTAGCATTGCTTTTTTTAAAGTGCCAAATTAAATATTTAAATGCAATTTCTCAGAATGCAACAATAGCTACTACCTCCTACCTTTTTCCCTAAGCATCCTCATAATTTTTTCCTTCTCCCTTTTTTTTAATGCTGTTGCTACCCAGGTAAAAGTATCACTTACGTGACTGAATTCTTTAAAATGGTAGGCAATTATACAATAATACTATGTAATCCTGTGAATAAATACATGAATTCTCAGCTTAAAACTGAGTTTTAGTTACCATTACTTCTACTAGGAAGTTAAGTTCACTTCTCTGATGGCTACACAGAGCCATTTCCAATTTCCAACCTACATTTATTCATGGTGAGCTTATAAATCTTGCACTTGGTACCACTGTGTTGTTTATATCTTAAAATAACTCTATTTCTTTCCAGTGTTTACTCTTTGAGATGACAACAAATTTATTCCCTTCTTTGTCATTATTTTTCTAGTCTGAACAGGCTGACTTCTCTTATTTTGCCACCTTAAGATAAAAGTCTGTTGCTCTAATCATTCTGCTGGACCTTCTCTGCATTTGTTCTGCTTGAAATTCAGATTTGTACAGCATGTTCTGGATGACAAATTATATGTGTCTTCTAAGGCAGTGTTAATATTCTTTAATCTCTGCTCAAAATTCTTCACCTGATGCAGACTAGGACTGCATTGGCATTTTTCAACCCCTAGTTTAGAGAAAGAGCTCCTGCCTTTTTTCTACTGAACTTCTACAGACAGTCTCATCCTCAACATCCTCCTCATTACTATTCTGAGACTCTTCTGTTTTAATTGTGTCTTACGACTTTACAGCCACTGTAAGTGTAATCAGCACATTTCAACTTTATGCATAAAGGTCACTATTAAAGATGTAAAATAAACCTGGTCCAGGCTGAGAAACTTGGAGCCTAGCAGTGAAGTCTGATACTGTCTTCTCACTAGTCAGGTCTTTGGCCGACTCAGTTTGCATACTAATCTTCATCCTCCCTAGGGTAATTGTACTTACCCAGAATGTATTATTACTAAAACCAGTAAAAAGTGTATTTACAAATTTTTCACTCTATCTAACTGTAAGAACAGTATATATGAAATTTAAAACTGCCCTATATATCTGGAAGGACAAGAGTTCAAGGACACTCGCTGTCCCTGCACTCATATAACCTATCTTAGCTGACTGATCCAAAACCAGGGAAAAAACGTGCAGGAAGGAACCATATAAAGTCTAGTTTTACACTTACTCATCATGATGTACATCAGAAATAAATACATGGATGTTAAAAAATTTATACTGGTATAAAAACAGTGCATGTTAGACAAGGCATAGGTCCATAACAAATCTTAAAAATAATTACAACAATTTCTGTATTTCAGTTACTGAAATAACTAGGTTAGCAATATATCTTACTTGTCCTGTCATATGACTCATGACACGTATGTGCAATTTCAGCTCCAAGCTGCAAATAATGTCCAGCTTTATCATCTCTGGAACCATCTGCTCCAAGGGCAAACATTCCCCCTGCAAAACAGGTCAAATGGCCCATCTTTCTTTCAAGGTGCCCGTTCTTCCACTCCCCAATGAAGGTGAGTCCTCCATTGGACTTTCTGATGAGATGTTTTTCTATGGCCTACAAGAAGATTAAGAGAACTTTCAAATACTGTTTTTACATACTGACTCTGCTTCAAAGAATAAAGTACTGTTTTCAAAACAAAAAGAATTTTCTTCTTTCAAATTAACTTCTGAACACTACAGGAGCAAACAGATATAAGAATATAACTTCAATGAACAAAGAAAAATCTTCTGACTGCTAAATGATGCTAATGAGATCAAACACAGGAAAATCACAGCACAAATAACATCGCACTTTCAGCTGAGAACTCAGCACACATTTTACAGCTCAAATAATGTTCATCTACCTGTTAACTCTGAGAAGTACCTATTTGTTCTGCTGTACAGTCGCTGTGTACTCAGAAAATAGATCCACGTTGGAAACTTTTGGTCAACAACACATGTAAAGGCAGCACCTGCATCCTCAGTCAGTCTTTAACAGGAAGTAACAGGAATGCTCAAGCCACCTTCTAGCTGCTTTTCCATAGCAGCTTTCTGATTGCACATGGTCAAAGGATTGGTGAGGGTTAGAGTAGCTGTTCACAAAAACCATTACTTTATAGGTGAGGCAACTGCTGTTGTTTCTTTGCACATTTGTACCAATATATGTTGTTGCTTATGACTTTGAAATGGTATTCTTCTGGTAGTAGGAAGGAGAATAGCTGACCTAACTTCCTAAAGTTTGCGAACTACATGGAACAACACATTTTCTTAAGCTTCTTGCAGAGAGGTTCACAATCCCCATCAATCTACTGCAGTACTTACTATCTTTAGCATTACACAGTTGTTTTTTTTCTTGTAACTAGAATCTCATTACACTTTGAGTCCTATAATAATAAAGACAATTATCTTCTTTACCATGGAGATATTATTCCTATATTCTTTCCAGAAATCTCCTTTGTACTTCCACACATAACCATCTGATGGGTTCACAACTTCCTTCAAAGTGCATGACCTGTGACTGGTCAGAATATTCCAAGGCTGATTAGAGTTGAAGGATTAAAGTGCCATTAAAAAGGCATTTATTACTTTCCTTGCTATCCACAAGATCTATTACAGAAGTGAATTACTACCCTCTCCACTTCTTTTCTGCTACCTATATCAAATTACACTCCAAATATCCACAACTGTATTCTGCACTAGAACTAGATATACTGAGAACACACAGTTGTTTCCTTGCTATCTACACAGCGCAAACTATGCATTTAGGTACAGTACAGATTCAAGCAATAAATACATAGATTAATCAGCTTGCAACTTGGAATTCAGGTTTAAAAGTGGAGCGTGAAATAGCTTTTCCCTCTAAAAAAAAAAAGTATGACTGTCTTTTGTTTTCAACAAAATGGACAAAGAGCTTCAAGCTCTTCTGTGACTGTAGTAGGTATTTCAGTTTCTTTTTTAAGAAGCTGATGCTTAAGTGATACAAGACTGTTAAAGCAGCTGTATTGAGCCCAGCAATATTTGATAACATGGAAGTCCTCCATCCAGGTCCTGAAACAACAACTGACAGCCTTCTTAAACAAAAAACTTTTTAAAAAAGAAAATTATGGAAATTACAGTTAGAAAAGGCAGAATTTGTAAGATTAGAAGCCTCATCTGGGGAAGATGATAAAATGAACTCATATTATCAGAGACAATAATGTAAATTTATAGAATCATAGCAATGCTATGATTCTACAAACAGTAATCTGAAATAGTTGTGTTTCTGAATATGTATGTGTTTCTGTATGGTTTTCTGAACATGTTCTTGACTTGAGATACTGCAGTGTTTGCAGCAACTTTTCTGAAAGGTCATAGTGATTTGACTCTACACCTCAGCCATGTACCCAGTGCAGAAATGGCAGTGCCCATACGGCCAAGGTGAATGCAGTGGCTAAAAGCCAATGCAGTGGATCCTAAGCAGAAAACTGCATTATGATCATCAGGACCCTGCTCCTTACTTACACTGTGGATTGAGCCATCATTCAGATGGTGAAATCTCTCCAATGTGCTCTATTAAGCCTGTGCATTCTGAATGTAACAAAAAAGTGTTGGTCTGTATTTCTGTTGGGTTATTTCTTCACTAATACCACTGACAGATCTGAAGTTTGTGCTTATGGCAGGATCCAGTGAGAAAAACACAGAAATAACTGACAGAGCAGAAACTAATAAGTCTCTGACAGCTGCCAGAGTGGTTGTCTAACAGTCACACAGACTGGCATTGAGGACTGGCATGATACCATGGCTTCTGATGCTCAGGAGCCTGATGTGGGTAACTGCACAAGCCTCATTTGTTCTGAAAGTACCGGTATAAGAAAGATTGGATCTGCTTAAAATTCTGCCACTGAGGATGATATTCAAATCTGTAGCATTAACTCTGTTCATTCAATTATCCTAGACTGTGACAAAACTGATATTATGATGATTACAGGATTTTTTTGACCATATGCTACATACAAGTTGAGGAGTCCTTTTTAAAGGAAAGCCATTTTTACTATGAAGAGCAATAAGGCTTAAAAGGGTTTGAATCATTTATTTTCTGGAGGAAAACATTTTATTTTTTTTTTTCAAAGTGTTGTGTGAAATTCCCTTTTGAGTTGTATCTTTTTGTAATTTTGTAACTGTTCAGAAGTAAATGGTTGCAGAAGCATTTTCAGTGGGACAAAATCACTGTGATTGACACCAGGAGAGCCAAAGGCCAAATTTATACACTTCTCCATGAGCTACTCCTTCACTCTAGACTTGCTTTCACAGTTTGACTGAAGAACATCACCTAGGTACAACATGCCCCTGTTCTGAACAGAGAAGACATCCTCTGAACTTGAACATCACTATCTTGCATAAAGAGTAGTTTTTGAAATCTGAAAATCAAGTTCTGTCAGCTACTTAGTAATTAAGTTACATCTCAAGAGTCACAAAGGAAGCATCCCCAAAAAGAAAATAAATGCAATCCTCTCAAAATACTTTATCATTCAACCCACTGCTTGCTAACTGTATAAAAAGGACAGTTAACATTTACAGTAATTAACAAGGAACAGCTGGGCATTGCTGGGAGCACTGCCTAGTGGACAAGAAAAGCGTGAGCAGGTTGGGACAGATGTGACATCTGTATCCTGGGCTGGATGCCTGGGATCACAGAGCCCCCCAACAGGCAGTGTAAAGCACTGACATCCAGCTGGACCATGAGGAGTACACATGCACTACTATAGTGGAAGTGTATACTTGAGCTCCCAAAGAAAAGACTTAGTTCACATCAACTAAGAGATTAACTGATGGAAAAAGCTTCCTTAGTCTGTCAAACACCTGAAACAATGAACCAAGATATGAAAACATAATGTTCTCTATCGGATGTTCATGCTTTCTGTGATTTTTATGAATACAAAAAATAGCAAGGCAGCTCAGAAAATCCTATGTTGTGATAGTCAAAAACACCTCTGAATCCTTCTTTTAGCTACCTAACACTGTGCAGTAAGAAAGAGCAAGGATTAAATTTGTGAGCCTAACAGATTAGACTACTCAAGATCAAAAGGAAGCTTCCCTATCCTCCAGTCAATGCGAGAAGGAGAAAAGACACTTTAAACCAGATTAGCTGGGAGGTCCATATGACAATGTTGAAAGCAAAGTTAAGAGGCCCAACCTCAATATTTACCACCACAAAAAATTCTCAACAAGTTTCACAATTTCAGCATTTATCACAGCTGTGAATCTACACACTAGGACACTGAAATGAAGTGTCCTTTACAGTGGAAGGCTGCATTAATGTTACATAGCATGGAGAGGTCACGGATACACAACTTGTTCGTACTCTTGTTATGAAGTATGTGGTGACCTGGGTAAGAGTTCATTTGCCATGGACTGGAAATCATGACATTGGAAGAACAGATATTGTCATCTTTCTTCCTTTTAATACCTCCAAGGAATGGGATATCACTGTCTACTGCAAGACTTCAGAGTGAGGGTATGGTTTTCTATCTTCCACTTTCCCATCTGTAATAAGCTAAGGGAGGGAAGAGTGGCTGGACAGAGAACTTTGACTGGTGGGTGCTGAGAACACTTCTGACTCTGTGCTATGAGTGGGAAGAATGTATTTTACACCCTTACCCTTCTGCTTGCATAAATGACACAAAGAGCTTTTGCTCCAAGTTTTGAAAAACAAAACTATGTTAGCTATGGAGCAAGACCTATGTTATTGGCAACAACCAAAGAACAGTAAGGGAATGGGGTCTTAAAAATATTTGAAGATTTTAAATAAAAATTCAAATTGCAATTATGCAATTATGCAAAACAAACCCTACTCCCCGAGTCTTTGCCTATGTCTTTTAGAGTCAAGTAGGACCTCAACCAGAAGGATGTTCCACAATGCATAAATCAGTATGGTTCATGGAGATTCAAATATACATGGGTGTGTTTAGCTGAGAGAAAGCCAAAGAGGAAACCATCTGATGCTTGCACTGCAGGTCATATCACATAAGGAGCAGGAGCAGCTCAGCTCTTCTTCCTTCCTATCCACAGTGTTTTGATCTCATCCCAAATTTGCTTTGCTATGTCTCCATTCAGAGACAGATATTTGCCCATACAAAATGTTTGCAAGACTAGGTTTACAGTGGAAAAGGATGAAAGGGAAAAGTTTATTTCCTCTAATATTAAAGTGCTCACAGTTTAGGAATCAGACAAAAATATTTTAACAGTAACCATAAGGGGTGGTAAACATCAACTGATGAATATTTTTAAACCCACAGGACCCAATAAACTGTATTTTAGACTATTAAAAGTACTCAACTAATGTTTTGAACTACTAATGTTGACTTTAACAAACCCTGGAAAGCTAAGAAAGTTAAAAAAGACTGGGAAATAGCTGACACTTTAACAGCATTTTAAAAAGTTAATAGAACAATAATATAAAATGTAGGATGTAGTTTCAAAAATAAATGCTTGATTGACAAGTGCATGCTGATATTAGGAATTTCAGTAATTTCCTTGGTATTGTACAAAATATTAGCCCGAAACAAATCCAAGGCTGCTCATACGAAGTAGATTAAAAGCTGGCTTGCTAGAACAGCTCAAAGTAAAACAAAAAATACTGAAAAATCTTCATCCCATGAATATTCTGCAAAGATACTTCTATTCAATGCTAGGCAGCATTTCTAACAATGATCTGCAAGAAACAAATGCTAAAAAAATTTGCAGATGACACAAAAATTGATGGAGCTACAGATAGCGATAAAGGAAAAGTCAGTCCTGTAAAATCATTCAGAACAGGTGACAAAATGGGAAAGCAGTAAATCAAAAGACTATAACCAACTTCAGAGTAAAAGCAACTGGAAGGTGGATAATAGTGTGAGGCAAAGGTTAAGAGTGCAACACAGCTCTTGGCTGGATGAAGAGGAGAATTCTGAGAAGAAATCAGGCGATGACATATTAGAAGAACCATTACATTCTTGCCTCCATACTGAAGCACTGGGAAATACTCAGAAAAAAAGCTTAAGAAAGAATTCAAAATCTGGTTTATATTGTGAGACTAAAGAAAATAATGCATCTGTCCTTTAGGAAAGAATGCCTATCATAGTTTTATTAGTAACCAGCTACATAATGCAGATAACTCTTTAAATAATGTAGGGAAGGAAAAAGTTCAAGTAGTTGAAAACCAAATGTAATTAAATTCAGGTCAGGAATAAGACATTGCTTCAAAGCAATCTTGGACTAGAACTTTCACTATGTATCTTTTAAAATACGAATTTTGAGACCTCCAATAACAGGTGTTTTGCTTTAGGAGACTGACTGCACTAAAACTAAGCTTTAAAAGCTTGTGTTGAAAGAAAAAGGGCATGCACAGAACATGGAACAAGTTAGGCATCAAGCACAGGCTGTGTGCTGTTGGACAAGACTACACAGTCCCTGCTGCTGTTGGTACCACAGCGAACTTGACTAAGACTAGCTTAGTCTCTCTGCACGTCTTAAATGTAGCACAGGCATGTTGGCATATATGGGCACGTATGAGCCTGATGAAAGAAGATGCCTGTGTACGGGGAAACGAAGAAATTCAGAGCTGGGCAGCATAAAGCTCAGAGCCACCACAAAAAGGCTCCCACCCCAAATCCCACTGAACCATCCTGCAGTACTGCTCTGCTTGGGCAAGCGCTACTTGATCTATGAGAGGGAGCAGGACCATATCACAAAAGAAACAGAGCAAGGAATAGGTATGAGCTACATTTCACAAAATAAATAGGGAATACAACATCAAAATGTTTTAGAAAATAATTTAAAGAACAAAACAACTCAGAACTTTAACTCCTAGAATCATTCTGAACACTGGAGATAAGTGACTTGGTTGTTCTGCACACATCCTAGGGTTGTTTGATCACTTTCTAATAAACTATAGTTTGGGCTTTTACATTATACCATTTTGGACAAGTTGATTATTTCTAGCAAAATAATCTACATCAGATGTATCCCACAATAATACTTTTAAAACAACTCAGAGTGAAAGCTAGTGTTACTCATCACTTCTTAAAACTTACATAATCAAAACAAGTCCTGGGGGGTATTTTTTGTTACTGTTTAAAAAAAAAAAAAAAATTAAAGATGGTTTTTAGGTTACACTGTATTGGAAAACTCAATGAATTATAATCACCTCAATTGCATCGTCGTACATTTTCCTTGCCTCCGTGTCCATCTTGTCTGACATAAGCCAGGCTTTCAATAAATATTCATAAAAACTGTCTCCCAGCCCGCCCACGGACGTGTGATCTGTAG